TTTTGTTTTTAAGATCCCACGTTTAGGTGATACCATACAGTGTTTGTTATTATCTGGCTTATTTCATTTAGCATAATGCCCTCGAGGTTATCCATGTTGATGCAAATGGCAGAGTTTCCTTCTATTTTATGGCTGAATAGTATTCAACCATAATATATAATATATGATATATGATATATAATATATAATATATAATATGTAATATATATTCACATTTTATGTATATATAATTTATATAATATAAAAATTTATTTATATATAAATAAAACGTGAATATGTATATATATCACATGTGATATATATATCACATTTTCTTTATTCATTCATCCATCAAAGACTTTTAGCTTGGCTTCATATATTGGCTATTGTGATAATGTTGCAATAAATTGGGTATGCAGATATCTCTTCAAGATGTTGATTTCATTTCCTTTGGATATACACCTAGGAGTGGAATTGCTGGATCATATGATAGTTCAAGTTTTAATTTTTTTTTCTTGTGTTTGCTGTCTCTTTTTTTTTATTAATTTATTTTTTATTATGAAATACACATTTTTTAGAATTAGTTTCAGCTGTACAGCACAGTGCAATAGTTATACTTTTAACCCCTCGAAGTGACAACCCCCTCCCCTAATCTGCTGCCCCATTTCCCCCCAATATCATGCATATCTATTACAAATCCCTTGACTCAACTCCCACACTATACTCCACATCCCATAAGTTTTAATTTTTAGTAACTGCCATACTGGTGTCTATAATGGCTGTACCAATGTACATTCCCACCAAAAGTATATAAAGGTTGCTTTTTTTCCATATCCTCACCAACATTTTTTATCTTTTGTATTTTTGATAATAGACATCCTAACAGTTGTGAAGTGATATCTCATTGTGGTTTTGATTTGCATTTCCCTGGTAATTAATGATGTTGAGCACCTTTTCAGGTACCTGTTGACAATTTGTATGTTTTCTTCGAAAAAATTTCTATTCCGGTTCTTTGCCCATTTTAAAATTGGGTTATTTGTTTGTTTGTTTGTTTTCTATTGTGTTGTATGAGTTCTTTATATATTTTGGATATTAACCCTTTATCAGAGCTTACAAATATTTTCTCCCATTCCATTGATTGCCTTTTCAATATTGTTCCCCTTGCTGTGCAGAAGCTTTTTAGTTTGATGTAGTCCCACTTGTTTATTTTAGCTTTTGTTGCCTGTGCTTTTGATGTCTTAGCCAAAACATTGCCAAGAACGTTATCAGAAATCCTTTTCCCAATGTTTTCTTCTACGAGTTTTATGGTTTCAGGTTTTACATTTCAGTCTTTCATCCATTTCAAGTTAATTTTTGTGAATGGTGTAAGTTAGTGGTCCAGTTTCATTCTTTCACATGTGGATATCCAGTTTTCCCAACAGTATTTATTGAAGAGATTATATTTTCCCCATTGTGTGTTCTTGGAGCCCTTGTCAAAAATTAGTTGACCATACATACATGGGTTTGTATCTGGCCTCTCTATTCCATTCTACTGGTCTATATAACTGTTTTATATGCCAGCACCATGCTATTTTGATTACTATAGCTTTGTAGTATAGCATGAAGTTAGGAAGTGTGATATTTTTGGCATTGTTCTTCTTTCTAATAATTGCTTTGGCTATTGGGGACTTTTGTGGTTTTATGCAAATTTTAGGATAGTTTTCTTCTATATCTGTGAAAAATGCCATTGAAATTTTGGTATGCTTTGCATTAAATCTCTAGATTGCCTTGGGTAGTATTCAATATTAATTTTCCAAACCAAGAACACAGAGTATCTTTATATTTACTTGTATCTTCTTTAGTCTCTTTCATCAATGTCTTACACTTTTATGTGTACAGATCTTTCATTCTCTTGATTAAATTTGCTTCTATTACATTATTTTTGATGCTATTGTAAATGGGATTGCTTCCTTAATTTCTCTGTCAGATAATTAGTGTATAGAAATACAATGAAAAAAAAAAAGAAAAAATGATAAATCAAGATCAACAACAACAGCAACAAAGAAAGAAATGCAATGATTTCCATATATTGAGGTAAAATTAACATAACATTATATTAGTTTCAGGTGTATGACATAATGANGTTTTATTAGCAATGCAGAAAAATCTTGGTGAACTCTTCTTAGCATAATTGCAAAGTAGGTTATATTTCTTTTATACAAAACAATATCATTTGACCGCAGACATCAACCAAATTTGTATTTCTAAATTTTGACTGATAGTTCATGGTTCTCAAATTGGCTTAGCTACAACAAAAAGTAGGTTACAATTTAATTGTTTAACAAATTATCTTCCATGTATCAGTTAGATTTTGCTGTGTTACAAGACACCCCAAAATTTAATGGCTTAGAATGACAAATATTTATCTTTTGTCCTAAGTTTGAATGTTGGTTGGATAGTTGTTCTGGTTTTGGCTGTTGTGAATGTGGATGGATGATCTAGGATGACTCACTTTCATGCCTGGTGGTTAGTGGTTGGTTGGTCTTAAGTAGGAGCTGCTCATATTGGGAAAACTCATCTCTCTTTCATGTGGTCACATATCTCCATTAAACCAGTCCAGGCTTTTTAACATAGTGGTCTCAGAGTTCCAAAGAGCAATAAGAGAAGGCAAACTCTATGAGCAAAATGCTTTCAAGCCTCTGCTTGTGAACAATTGCTAATGTCTCACTGGTCAAAGTAAGTCATATAATCGAGGCCAGATTACAGGGATATAGACTTAGCATTACAGTGAAGATCACTCTGCACCTTAATAACATTTCATTTCCATATCAACCTGGGAACGTTCCCATATCTGCATGGGAACGTCCCAGATGCTCAAAAAAGGAATTTCTCAATGGCTGATCCAGTAGTAATAATCACTAAAATAAAATTCTATGCCAAAGAAAAAGTTGATTCCTTGTGAAATTTGCCTTAATAATATTTAAGGAACTGTTTATACTGGAGTTTTTAAGCAGATATCACTGTATTTCTTTTCTTTTTTTCTTTTTTTTATTGGGGAATTGGGGAAGGGGAACAGCCAAGTTGTTGTCCTTCAATCTTAGCTGTGGAGGGCGCAGCAAGCTCAGCTTGAAGTCCAGTCACGCTGCTCAGCTCAAGGTGCTGTGTTCAATTAGTTGCAGGTGGATGTAGCCACCATCCCATGCAGGAGTCGAACAAGCGGCCTCATTGTTAAGAGTGTGTGCTCTATCCACTGAGCCACCCAGGTGGCAGCTCAGCTCAAGGTGCCAAGTTCTGTCTTTAGTTGTGGGTGGGCATAGCCCACCATTGAACAGGCAACCTTGTTGTTAGGAGCAGGTGCTGTCACCAGCTGAGCCATTCTGCCACCTGTTGCCAGTTCAGCAGCAGCACAGCTCACTGGCCCATGTGGGAATCAAACTGGCGACCCTGTTGCTCAGAGCTCACACTCTTGAGCAAGCTCTTAATCAACTGAGCCACTCGGCCAGCTCTCACCGTATTTCTTAATAAAGCTTTCTAAATCAGATTTTACCCAGAGGGACATAGGTCTAGCTAGCATTGTTTTACCACCTGAGGTATAATATTGCTAAATGAATAGTGTATATAGGCAGCTGAATATATATTCTCAATAGGAGGGTAATGATGATTTTAATAATTAAAAACTGAATAAACCATATTTTCTTTCTTGCTTTTTCTTATCTAGCACAAAAAAGAATTCATCGCTTAAGAAGATTCTTAGCACATTATCTATTGCAGTCGTTTTTGGAATTACCTGGGTTCTGGCATATGCTATGCTACTTGATGATGATAACATCAGGGTCATCTTCAGCTACATATTCTGTCTTTTCAACACTACTCAGGTATGGTGTGAATTAGTCTAAAAGTAGCAGAACAT